TAAACAAGATAGATTGACATGCTGACTGTAACAATGAGATGAAACCTGGCAGGGATCATAACGATCTGGGAGGATAGGACAAAGTTCAGATCTGTTGTTTGTAGCTGTGGTGTGACTAATGGTCGATTCAGTTGTACCTAAGTACAACAGCAGTAACAGTGGTCTTGATCTTCTGAAGTGCCAGGAAGTTTCCTAGCTCAGGATCCTAAGCCCAGAAGGTTGCACTCAGCTCCTGCTGGTTGTTTCTTGCTACACTGAGGTCCTTCCTTGTCTCAGCCCATTTTCCCATCCTTTTATCACAGGCAAACTTCCCTTACTGTAATGGGACTAAGGGATGTGGCATTCCACTCTTAAGCCTTTTACACTCTTTATCCTGTTTGGTTTAACAGATCCTGAGGCATGATGCCTTCCCCATCGTCTCATTGCATACATGTATTTTGGGGGGAGTACAAGTCAGTCTGTGACACCGAGGTATGCTCCTAGTCTTGGGGATTGCTCCAGTCTCAATTGGCCCAGCCAATCATCTGGACCTTGAAGAACTTGAACTCCATGTTTTTCTCCCATTATATCAGGATCCATCCATTTCTCCTTCAAATATTTCTGTGCAGCCATGTGATTATCATTATTTACTTTAATAAGTAGAGAACTCTACTTATAATGAAATTTTAAAAAAATAGCAAATACTCCACTGCCATTGAGTCTACCCTCTATTCTGACTCCTAGTGACCCTCAGTTTTCTACCTCAATTGGAAGAGCCTGTCTGTCTTTCTCCTGCAGGGCAGCTGGTGGATTCAAAAGACTGACCTTTTAGTTAGTAGCCCAATTCCATATGCTCTGTGCCCCAGGGCTCCTGACATACTGACATAGTAGATTTCAAATAGTACTTTCTTGGCCAGAAAGAGTTACTGCAGCTTCTCAAAGGGCTGGCTAGGCATTATTCTGGGCCATTCAGATCCAAAGAGTCTGTTACTCTCTGTTACTGTGGCAGAATCCTTGGAGGTGGGCATCATGTTCTTCTCCAGGTCCCCACATCCTGACCTGACTCAGTAAAACACTTGGCCATTCTCTGATGTGCCAAGAAATTGGACAGGAAATCCTTCATGTAGATAGCAGAGAACTCAAAGCTGAAGATGTGATATTACTGTGATTTTTTCCATGGATGCCTGAAACATAAGGGCTCCTGCTTTCACACACATCACCTATTTGTTGCTTTTCATCAGGAAAGAAAAGTTCTCTGGGACTAGAAATGAGAACACCCTTGTTTTCTTTCCAATGCTGGTTCTTAGTGAACACTTGGTTCAGGAGGAGCTTCTGCAGGGGGTTTCTCTGAAGTATCTTGGCAACTAGCTTCTTTCAGGCTGGGCTGTATGAGGAGGAATGTGGCATCAGGCTTGCATGAAAATTCTCAACAATCTGCATTATGCAGATAACACAACCATGCTTGCTGAAACTGAGGAAGACCTGAAGCCCTTGCTGCAGAAGATCAAAGACTATACAGCCTTCAATATGGATTGAAGCTCAACATTAAGAAAACAATGATTCTCACCACTGGGCCAATTGGCAGCTTCATGATAGATGGAGAAAAGATTGAGATTGTTAACAACTTTAGTTTGCTTGGCTCCACAATCAGGTCTCTTGGTACCAGCAGCCAGGAATTTAAAAGATGAATTGTATTGGGAAAGTCTGCTGTCAGGGACCTCTCCAGAGTACTGAAGAGCAACAGTGTCAGTCTGGAGACTAAGATGTGCCTGATCCAGGCCATAGTCTTTTCAATTGCTTGCTATGTGTCAGAGAGCTGGACAATGACCAGGGATGATAGAAACAGAATTGATGCCTATGATCTGTGGTGCTGGAGAAGTTTGTTGAATATACCATGGACTGCCAGGAAAACAAACAGGTTGCTTCTTGGAGGCAAAGATTCTCAGGTTTTGTCTGACATACTTTGGGCATGTTGCAAAGAGGGTCTGGTTCTTGGGGAGAGACATCATGCTTTGAATGGTGGAGGGACAGAGAAAAAGATAGAGGCCATCAATGAGGTGGATTGATACAGCGACTGGGATAATGAGGGTAGGTGTGTCAGAGACAGAGAAGTTGGCACAGGATAGAGCAGGTTTCAGGGCTGTTGTACATAGGGTGACTATGAGTTGCAAGCAACTTGATGACACATAACAACAATAACGTAGAGATGTAGACTGGATTTCACCAATACAGACTTAGCTCTCAACTCCTCTCAATTGGCAGAGAGGAAACTAATAGTTCAGCTTTCCTTGTTTGGGTGATTGTTAAGTTTGCTAGGTTCTGTATCTATGTAACTTCAGGACAAAGCAGATTTGACTGTAGATCACAACAAATTGTGACTAACCTTGAGAAAAACAGAAATCCCAGAATACCTGATAATGCTCATGTGAAACCTATACTTGGACTTGGACCAGGACACAGTCATAAGAACAGAGCAAGAAAACACTGCATGGTTCAAAATCAGGAAGGGAGTGTGTCAGGGTGTATTCTGTTTCCATACCTTTTCAACCTACATGTAGAGCAGATTATTATGGAGAAAGATTCATCATCAACCTCTTTTATGCAGATGACACAACTTGCTTGCCAAAACTGAGGAGGGCCTGAAGCATTTACTGCAAAGAATCAAGGACTGTAGTCTGCAATATGAATTGAAGATCAACATCAAGATAATGAAGAATCTTGCCACTGTGAGCATCATGATAGATGGAGAAGAGATTGAGATTGTTAATAATTTCAGCTTGCTTGGTTCCACAATCAACACTCTTGGCACTAGCAGTCAGAAAATTAAAAGACGAATTGCATTAGGAAAATCTGCTGTCAGAGACCTCACGCGAGTGGTACTGAGCAATGAAGTCAGTGCAGAGATTAACGTGCACGTGATCCAGGACACAGTCTTTGCAATTACCTGTTATGCATCCGCTGGACACTGACCCAATAGGACAGAAGAAGAATTGATATCTTTGAGTTGTGGTGATGGAGAAGAGTATTGAATATACCATTCTGTCAAGAAAACTAACAGGTTTGTCCTGGAGAGGGTAAAGTAAAGCTGTTCCTTGGAGACAAAGATTTTGAGGTTCCCTCTCACATGCTTCCTCCAATCCTGATGTCACATTCCTCCTCATAGGGTCCAGCCTTCTGAATGATCTGTTCTGCATATAGACTGAAAAGGTATGGAAATAGGACACATCTCTGGCATACACCCTTCCTGATTTTGAACCATGTAGTGTTTCCTTGCTCTGTTCTAGTGACTGCCTCCTGGTCCAAGCACAGGTTTCACATAAGCACAATCAAGTATTCTGGGATTCCCATTCTTCTCAGAGTTAGCCACGGTTTGTTGTGATCTACACAGTCAAAAGCCTTTGCATAGTCATTGAAACACAGACATACATCCCTCTGGTACTCTTTGCTTTCAGCCAAGATCCAGCTAACTAACATTAGCTATAATATCCTTAGTGCCATGGCCTCTTCTAAACCCAGTCTGCAGATCTGGCAGTTCTCTGTTGATGTTCTGTTCCAGTTGTTTTTGGATCATTTTCAGCAGGATCTTGCTTGTATGTGATATTGATGATGTTGTTTGATAATTTCTGCACTCTTTTGGGTTACAAATATGAATCCCTTCCAGTCAGTTGACCAGATGGCTGTCCTTCAGATTTCTTGGTACATTGGGAAAGTCTGCTGTGAGGGACCTCTCCAGAGTACTGAAGGGCAACTATGTCAGTCTGGAGACTAAGGTGTGCCTGATTCAGGCCATGGTCTTCACAATTACTTGCTATGCATCAGAAAGCTGGACAATGACTAGAGATGATAGAAAGAGAATTGGTTCCTTTAAGCTGTGGTGCTAGAGAAGAGTATTAAATATACCATAGACTGCTAGGAGAACAAACAGGTTTGTCTTGGAGAGGGTGAAACCAAGCTGCTCCCTGGAGGCAGGGATTCTGAAGCTTTGTCTGACATACTTTAGGAATGTCACAAAGAGAGACCAGTTCTTGGAGAGGGATATCATGCTTGGGAGGGTGGGGGGAAAATACAAGATATGAAGACCCTGGATGAGATGGATTGACTCAGTGATTGGGATAATGGGGGTAGGTGTGTCAGAGATGATAAAGTTGCCTCAGGATAGAGCAGGGTTCAGAGCTGTGTACATCGGGTTGCTAGAAGTTACAAGCAACTTGATAGTACATAACAACAACAACAACTCACGGACTTTGGGCATGTTGCCAGAATGGACCAATCATTGGAGAAGGACATCATTCTTGGAATGGAGGAGGGACAGCGCATGAAAGGAAGACCCTGGATGAGATTAACTGATACAGTAACTGGAGTGATGAGGGTAGGTCTGTCAGAGATAATGAGATTGGCCCAGTTAGAGTTGATTCAGAGGTATTATGCATAGGGCTGATATGAGTAGTGGTCAACTTGATGGCACATAATAACAACAAGTTTAGATTGAATGCAAAGAGTAATACAGGAAGCTAAATGGGAGTTTTACCCACAGTAGGTTCTTGGCTATGTTACCATCCTTGTTATCAGAAAGATGGAGGAAAATGAGTTCTATTTCCAAATTTTTTGTAATCCTACATGAATAAAGAAGGCATACAGAATACAAATACCCAGCCTAGGGTAGAAGTACTAAAACAAGATATAATAAACAGTAATGTTAGCAGAGGAAGAGATAAAAAGAAAATAAAATAACTTGTCCAAAACACAATGTCACCACCACACACCAGTTTTATGTTTCTAAAGGAATTCTGAGCCTCAGTTTTTCCACCTGTAAAATAGGTATAATAGTACCTACTTCATCTGGACTCTTAGGAAGACTTATAATGTAGACAAGGTTTACGTCCTGTGGACAGTGCCTAACACTATGTTAAATGAGCATTCAATAGATAGTGACTGAGCACATTGATGATGCTGAAGTGGATGAAGATGATGAAAGGGACCTTAAAAATAGCATATCAGAAAGAAGTAAAACTTGGGGTGTTATGGCTTCAAGGTTACTTTATGGAGCTGGAGCATTGGTAGCTCAGGCCTTGAGGGCCTGCTTGATGGGATCTGGAGGTGGTGGGCCTACCGATGATGGTCAGGAGACAGGGCTAGAGCAGAAGGTCATGATGGCTGCTCGGAAAGGCCAGGATCCATACAATATGCTTGCTCCAAAGGCAGCTAAGGAATATCCCAATTTAATTCCCTCCATCACTAATAAGCGAACAGTACGCTGCATCTGTGAAGAGGACAACAGTACTGTGATCTGGTTTTGGCTACACAAAGGTGACGGCCAGCAATGCCCTAAATGTGGGATCCTTTATAAGCTGGTACCCACCACTTAGCCCACTGAGCAAGCCCCTGAATGTGCTCACACTGACGTGGTCTAAAGGTGCAGCATTGTTTCCTTCTTTCCAATAAAGACTAGCCACTGCTTTGGCTTCTTCTCCCACACAGGAAAAAAAAGGAAGGGAGGGAGGAGGGAAGGAGGAAGAGAGAAGAAGAAGAAGAAGAAGAAGAAGAAGAAGAAGAAGAAGAAGGAGAAGGAGAAGGAGAAGGAGAAGGAGAAGGAGAAGGAGAAGGAGAAGGAGAAGGAGAAGGAGAAGAAGAAGGAGAAGGAGAAGGAGAA